GAATTTTTAAGGCTTTAGGAAGAAAAACAAAGCTCTGAATTGAAGTTCTATTTTGAATATTGTTGCAGTCACATCATAGGTGGACCCTGGTATGAAGACAATGGTTAATACTAAAGTATTTCCCTCCTCATATATAATCAATATTATTGTTTCCTATAATATCTGCAGAATACATCAGATTGATTTTCGTTTGGGAATACAACTGTAGGCAGTCTCCTTGTCACACGTATTTATAATTTCCTTGTTAATTACATAAATATTTCTGTTAGAAATAAGAGACCGTATTGCAAGTGCTCTGCCCAGAGAACTATTGATTAACTACATTTAATATTCTTTTTACATTAATCATTTAAGATTAAGCTTCATAAAATATATCTTGTTCCCCATAATTTGCCCTTATATGGCTCTTAACATAGGAAAATCTGGAGGAGTTGTCTCAGTTACTGAAGATACTTGATTATCATGGTTATTCTTTCATCTGAACCCCTCTTTTATCACATGCAGATGAACTGTCTTATACAGTCACATGATTTTGACATTGTCACATTCAGATACTTGTTGCAACTACCTAGTTTCCAGATGCTACAGAACAGTACAGTGTCCCATTCAAGATTACATCCATCAGAAATGTTATGAGTCTGCTCTTGAAACTAACATGGAAAATGTGAATGTTACGCCATGTAGAGGGCTGTTCTATACAGGTATACAGGTTTCAAGTCTAGAGCTAAAGGACACTTCAAAGAAAGTGAATTTTTGAGATTTTACTTTCTTTTCTGAAGAACAGTTTACTTTCTAAACAGCATATTTATGCTTTCTGTTCTTCTGTGCTTATACAGTAGTAGTTATGACCTCCAGAGCCATAATTCTACCACAGCTGCAGGTTCTGGGGAGCTGGCTTATGGCAAAGAGGCTTCTGAATGAAATACAACTTTAAATTAAGTTTCAACAGCTTATAAGAATAGGGAACATAAGAAAACAATGCTGCTCAGACCAAAGGTCCACCTATCCCAGTAGCCAATTTCCAAAATAACAGCCCAGTATAGAGTTACTCTTTTCAGTTTAGTCTCTCATATGTTCTCAATGCAGTGACTATTCAGTGGGATTCTGGAGAGCAGAAATGGCTTTGGCCCAGTGCCTGTTCCTGGTATTGCATCATTTCCAGACTAATGAGAAAGATCAATCATTAGCCAGTACAGGACACTCAGAGAAGTATGTAAGAATCAGGCACGAACAGAGTAATCCCGTACCTGATATATTCCCCTTTTTGCCAATAAGAAAATTAATAATTTCTCAAGCAAGAAGTTGCATTTGATTATTGTTTTTAGTGGCTATTGAGAGCTCATCCTTCATTAATTTCTTTGGTTCATGTTGAATTATTTTAACTACTCAGTAGCCATATTTGTAGAAATCATGGCAAAAGAATCATCAAGTAATGAAACTCTTTAATGCTGTCAATAGGGTAAATATGCTCCACGAAGAAGACTCTGAAAGTCATTCAAGGAGATCCAAGTCTTGATGGTGAAGACTTGTGATTGTTCTCCATCAAATGCAGCATCAATATATTGCCATTGAAAACTAAGTGCCAAGTTAAAATATGAGCTTTTAGCCAGTTGTTTTACATTCCCTAGATCACCTTATCTTTAGTTGTAAAGTTGAGTTTTTACAGTATGGAACATACTGTGATTAGCACTGGGTATCATGGTTAGTTTGCTACTATACGCAAGCTGTTGCCTCTTGGTTGTTGGACAGACCAAGCCAAATGGTTAAAGGTCAGTGTCCCTCTGCTTTTGCCCTAGTAGGGCTCAGGGTCTTCTACCCAAATTCTTATGTTCATGAAACTTGTAGAGATTTACTATCTTGGAAACAAGCTCCCTCTGTTAAATTGAATAAAAACTGGAAAATTCATTTAAAAGCTGTTGGAAAGACAAACAGATAAACTGGCAGTGCAACTGCAGAAATTTATCTTCAGTAAACAAAAACCAGAATAAAGCAGTTATAAAAGGTACTTGCCATAATTCTGTTCTCATTGAAGTCAATGGATATGAAGCAATTGTCTGCAAAGGAGGACCAAAGTGTAGCCCATCCACTGTCCCTTCAGAACTATTTCCAGCAGAAATGTCACAGCCTGTCAAAAGAATTCATATTACATGTGGAAATTTTTCATTATGTTCTCTAAGAAAAATGGTTATTTCAAAGTCAAGAGATTTTTCTTCTAACATTGTTTTGTATTAATCCCTTCTTTTTCAAACTGCACAAAAAATTTAAATTGATCATATAGCTCAAGGCAATTCCAAAGTTTACATTCATTGCTGATGGTGATTGAAGTGATGGTTATTAGAGACCTAAGCAGCTGCATTGCTATCAGGGTACTGGCTCAGAACTGAAAATTGAGGGGTTGCTGAGCTCAGGCTCAAGTTCAGAACATACTTTTATCTCTGGGAGGCAAGAATTATTGTACAGTTTGCAATTTTTTTTCAATGTCAGACTCAGTTTAAGGTTTCTGAAAGGCTACTGTTGTATACATAATTTTGAATACTGCCTTCCATTTCACAATTTTAAATATTATGTTCTTTGATCTTATTTTTAATGTTAAGGGAAACATTTTAGCAGCACAAATAGAAGACTTGCAGCAGAATCTTGCCCTCCTGAACCATCTCAAAGCTTTAGGTTTCTCTTCAGGGAAGCTATGATTTTCTTTCTGGGCTTTCAACTCAGTCAATAATCAAGTAACTTCATATAGGTAAGTTTAATTTTCTTTATCTCAGTTGCCTCACATGTAACATAAGAGTAGACAATAACCTCCCTTAAAGGCTTGCCAAGAAGAACCAAACTACAAGATCTTCAAATGAAACACATAATAAAAAAGATTTTACGTAATTTGACATTTAAAACTAGAACTGGGTAACATTCTACATACCTGTAAGACTATATTTTAATTTTGGATTATAGGGTAGATGTACATCAAGCAAAATCTTAGATAATTTATACATTTTACCAGTAGGCATATGCTACCTTCATTTAGAAAAGCTAATAATGTTAATCTAAAACCCCCTCATTATTGCTATTTGATATGCAAATATTTAAAGAGATTCTGTCCTACACATATATTTTCAAACTTTATGATAAATACATTTAAAAATTACTGCCTTGAGATGTATTATTAAAATTTATACAAATGACCTGCATTTCCTTACGCCCGTACAATAGCTAAAGAATACCTAAGTTTCTATTACCTGTGAAGGCAATGATTTTCTAAATTCTTTTAATGCAGAGATCATGAATTTAACTTTTTTTCCCATGTGAAATTCCATGCACCCAATTTCACTCATCACATGTTAAAATATGTATTTATTTCAACAGGAAACAGTTTCCATGTTTCCACCTCCTACCTGATATTATAAAACCACTGTAAAATAGGTTGCAACTCTGTATCAATATAGCCTTTAAACTGTCCTTAAATCAAATAAAAAGATAAACTATTAGAGAATCATTTGAGTGACACCTGCCTGCTGGGAAGAGGTGGTGTTTGTTAGGTATTTTTGGCTTTATGCTGCAGCTATGTAAGTTTATATTGCATTTATGGTGGTTAAACTGAAATTATAAAACTGAAATGATAAAATAGCATGAGGTATATATATCTAAAAAGAAAAATGTTTTACTCCTTAGTCTGTGAGACAAGGCCATTCCTTGAGCAACTCCAAACAAGCAGGAATATTTTTTTATAGTACATTTTACAGCTATTTTGGCAATTGTAGCTTAGAAATAAAATAAAACTTAGCTCTTTGCCATGAGTTGTTACTTATTTGCATTTCACATTTTTAGAGCATATTTTCCACCTTTCCACTACAGAATACATAATACCTGAACAGCTTTTATTTGCTAAAAAGAGGTACCCCATTTTTTTCCCCATGGGAGAGACTTAATTTTGATCAATAAGAAAACAGTTTTAAGAAGCCTGAAGAGATTTCTTGAGACAAGAGCTGTTTCCAGTGGCATTGCTTTTTAGACTACCAGTGAATGATAAGCAGTGATACTTTGGGATATAAGGAACTACAACTGCAACAGAACAAGGTAATAACAGAACTGTTACATTTATCTCATGGTTCTGCATTAAAAACTGCACATGAAAAACTTCTATAGGTATACAGAACTTCATCACAGATGATGGACTGATGTCTCTGACCTACAGTCAGCCTTTAGAAAGGTTAGCAATGAAATATCAGATAATTTGTTCTGAGGTTTTTCTACATTTGAGAGACTGTTTAGCATGATGTAAAGCCAAATTAAAAGTAGGACAAAAAGCTTTTGGGGGAATAGACACATGCTAAATAAAAGTGGCTGCTGCCACTGCCACCCTGCAGGGTCTTAGAAAATATCATGTAATGTGTCAATGTGATTTATTTTTATGAGTTATTCCTATGGGCATGATGTATGTATTCTGTGAAGATTAAAAGGAGTTGTTTCTTTAGAGATACTACATTAAGAATCACTGTAAAGTTATAGTTTAATTCTGCAGAACAGAAGATCCCACTCACTGAACTTTTACCAGTATAACAGAATAAATATTGTATACGAATTTCATCACGGAACAATTCACAAGGCTGAATACATTTTACAAAGTCAATGAAGTTTGACATGAAACAGATGAGGCACCAAGCAAAAATATTTTCCAGTTTTGAAGCTAAGCATTCAGAGACATATTTCCTGTATTGTAGGATTTAATTTTCTTAATGATATGTGTTAGCTCTTCAAGAACTGACAAACTGGCTCCCACTGTTGCCCACTTTATTTAAGGTTACCTGTCTGTCAATTGCTTCCAGAGGCAGCAGTTCCAGAAGAGTTCGTCATTTCAACCCACACTGAGCAAGACTATGATTATCTCTGAAATGTTATTTCCAGTGGCTTTTGGATCTTTCTAGTAATCTGTACAGAAAGGCACACTACACTTGATACACGACTCCTAACCATGTAGGTTTCTATAATAATCACTACAGAGTATTCTTCTGTGCTGTGAGAAGCTTCCAGAAGAACAAGGCCAAGCTGTCTCAGCATCAGAGAGCATTTCATGAGTGGTCTCTGGAGCTGCACTGCCTGCCCTCTTGGCTCTGACTGCACTTACCAAACACAGCACCCTTGGGAACAGTGCTGAGTGTGACCCCAGTCCTACTGGTAAGCAGAAAGGACTAGAAGTGCTCTAGTCTGGTCTGTCAGGCTGGTCTGTCAGGCTGCTGACATCTGTTACAGCCTAAACATAACTACAACTAATAGATAATTTGTACTATTCTTCGAGTTCCTTTTGCCTCCCCACTGAGCAGCAACTTGCTACAGCAAAGAATTATGTACCTATTGAACAAGATTTCTTGCAGCTCCTGCACTAAGGAATGCCTCTGTCGTGGCTATGAGAAGGTTCCTCTCAGGGCTCACATTGTCTTTCATGCTGCTCCTTAGGAGTTGCTGATAGACACTACTAAACAGTGCTCAGGATGATGAGCATGAACATGTTTCCTGTAATCATAAAGGCCTACCACATCATTTCATACCTATGTTTATGTCATTTTGGAGGTAGATTGGATTTCCAGGTGCTACTAAACAATTACACTTTAAAATTATTAGGAACATTTTTATTTTTTTTCCAAGCAGAGCATGACCAGACTCTCCTCAGTGGTGCTCATGACAGGACAAGAGGCAATAAGCATAAACTGAAAGACATTAAATTCCATCTAAACATAAGAAAACACCTTGAGGGTGACCGAATGCTGGAATAGGTTTTTGAGAGTGGTTGTGGAGTCTCCAGTCTTGGAGACATGGCCCTGAACAACCTGCTCTAGCTGCTGCTCCTTGAGCAGGGATATTTGATTCTAGAATTTAAGTGTAACTTATGACACTATTCAGGCGTAAACTCAACTATTCTGTGATTCTGTAATTAGACTACCTTCCTTAATGCAATCATGATTTATGCCTTTTACTTTGAAACTGGAATTCTGTAATTGATTGAACAAGTCAAGGGCTCATGACCACTGAGAGAATGAAGCTGTTAGAGCTTTTAAATCCTAACAGTGCAAATGAGAGACCAAAAACCAAACCAATCACATTAGTGATATCCTGACTGGGCTGTGTTTGAGGAGGAATTTTAAAAGATCTGGGCTAACTACCTGCTCCCATCCTGGATTTGCCCTAAATGGGAGACTGCATCTCTCCTCCTCTGTTCCTCAGTGAGCAGCAGAGGTGACAGAGGGAGCTGCCTTGGACTGGCAAGATTTCTGCCAGCATCTCCCCACTGGGACATCCTCCTCTCTCATCTTGAACTGGCAGGTGTTGCTAACTCAAGCAAGTCTAGAAAGCTGCAGGAATTTCACAGCAGAGGGATGCTGCTGAGTAGATTCTTTTCGGAATTAGAAGTGGGTTCACTCTTTCAAACGTTCTGAGGACAAACACTATCTGCTGTTTACTGCACCAAGCTTGTAGGCATTACTGGTTTATGAAAAGGTAATTTTAAAGAATGAAAAAGATCATGAGTATTTTGGTTGAAAACATTCTTTGTCTTTCTATGTTCCAAATAAACAGTTTAAAATTCAGCTTCTTCAGACTCTGTTTTCTCCCCCTAACTGTTAGACATTAAGTGCCATTCAAATGTGTTAGAATATTTCCCCCCTTTTCAAAAAGCTACCCATAGAGAAATGCTTGGCTTCCCTTCAAATGGAACAGTTCAAAAAGAAAGAACTGCTTAGCACAGGGATTAGCAACAGTTGCTCTTGAAAATGATTGATAATTTAAAATGACTGGGGGACTGGGTTTGTACTTGTGAAAATGGAACAACAGGTACAGCAGAAAGGCTGGACTCATGAATTGTGACTAGATTATTAGCAATAAAACTTGCACACATGGAGTTAAAACTTCTTTGTAGAGACCTCATATTTGTTGAGAGAGCTGTACTGGCTTGGAGGAGTATACTTGTTTAACAAAAAATTTGCCATCAAAATGGCTCACTTAAAAAGGTTGATGAATAAAACTAGAGATTTTGATGCTATACTTCCCAAGGTGAGCAGATTGGTTTTTTGAGGGTTTTTGTTGTTGTCTTTATTTTATTTTATTTATGCTTTTCAAACTCTTTTCAGATGACAGTAATTAAAGAAAACCCAAACAAATGAAACTGCACAAAACCCCAAACACCAACACAAACAAACAAATAATTAGTAATTTTAAATATCGTTTCTATATCATAGGAACTAATGGTAAGTATTGTCTTTTCAAATGTTAAAGCCTTAATAAAAACTGTGTATATATTTAGCCAGCCCTTTCAGTATAACGTCACTGAGGTGCTAATATACCAAGACCTAGCTTCCCTATACCACCAGAAAGATGATCTCATTTGTTATCTTTCCAGCAGAGAAAGCTTTTTCATCCATTTCTTTTACAAGCTGCTGTTGCCACAGTTCTCCTTGAGGAGTCTTGACAATTGATCCAAGCTGATGGCCACACTTCCACAAAGTGCTGTACAGGAACTGCCAAACCTGTTTCCTACTGTAAGTCTGGTGCTTTCTCTAACTCCTCATGAATTTGCTCTTAACATAAATAGATATAAGATATATAATTTCATTATGTATATGTTATTGTAGAAATGATATGTCTAGTGTGGAGAAAAAAACCAAAAAAAAGCTGTTTTCTTTTTTGCTGTTTTGCTAAAGTAGAACAAGTATTGGAATTAATGCACAATAGAATTCCATTGCACAATATGGCTAAACCAGGTGAAAAAGACTTTTCTAATGAAAAAAATAAAAAAAAGGTAAAAAAATGAGTTGAGGATGCTAATAAAATAGTAGAAGAAGCCCTTAAGGAAATATGATGGTGTTGAACGTGTGATAGAGGCCAGATTTTTAGCTGAGGGAAGAATGGTTAGTTAAAACACACAAGATATGGGCCCAGAAGCAGAGATTATTGGCAGCAGTTCTTGTGTTTTGCAGACAATAGGAAGTAGGGGTGTGACTGGCCATCTGGTCTGCACGCTCCAGCTCCAGCTGTGCTAGCAAGCTTAAAGGAGGAGCTGCAGCTGTGTAATGAATATTTACAGCAGAGGAGGGTGTGATTTATGGCAAAGATAAGAATTGATGAAAAACTAGGACTGAACGTGCTTGAGGTTTAAGATGGCATTTCAAATCCTGCTATCTGTGATTCAATACTGGACATTTCCTTAAAATATTCAGAGACCTGAAAGAAGAGATTTGATTCATAAACTTGCTTCAGTGTGTGTAAATACAATGCTGGGAATTAGTATACAGTTGCCCGAGTGCAATTCTTATAAACATAGTTACACAAGCACAAGAGTTTTCCTGCTACATAGAATGATCAGAAGGTTTTGATAATTTAGTATCTAAGAATTAGAAACTTATTTTAGATAGCTTGGAACTGTGAACACCTTAAGTTCAGTGTTAATTTTATATTACTCATGCCAATGAATCAGACTCATAGATGGTCTGGGTGGAATAACAAATTATCATCACAAGATATCTTTACTGATGTAACTTGTTAGTATTTAAAGTTTTGTTAAAAAAAAGGAAGGATTTTTATAAATGGGATTTCTTTATATTTACATATATGTATGTATATAGCAGATATTACACAGCTCTGCCTACTGTCCCTTCTAAAGAGATGGTGAATAAATAATTACAATATAATTGTCTTCAGATATACCTTGTCCATGTTATTTAGCTGCCACAGGTAAAGCTCTTTGTGATGGCCCATATACTGGTAGAGAAGTACTAACCTGACCAGCAGTTACAAGCAGATAAAGGCTGTGATAGCAGGGATTTCTTATCTTCAAAGAAGGACAGAATTCAGAATGTGAATTTGTACTGTGTGCAGTTGTGACAGCACACAGTACCAGCAAGAAGTTAACTTGTAACTGCGTGCAAAAAGAATTGCCAGCATGGTTTCCTCATTTTTGCCTTGCTAAAGAAATGTATCTTGGATGGTAGGCACTGCCTTGAAAAAAATATTCAGCTAGAAGCCTTCGAGTGGGAATTAGTCACATTCCTGGTTGCTTTTCCCGTGCTCCAGAGAGTTTATGACAAGCACAGAGAAGTGTGAAAAGCTCTGATATTAAATCTAGAGATAACATTCATCTGAAGAGTTGGTGTCCCTGGAGAATGGAGGGAAAGTGTTATTCTCTAATATTCCTTAAAACATTCAGAGCAAGTGGTTTTATTCTGCCCATGAAGACATTCTCAGAAATCTAATTCTATTAAATGCTACTCCCTTAAGAAGCCTTCATTCTGTAAAAAAAACATGCCACAGGAAATCCTTAAATATAAGGGTGGAGGTAAGTAGCTGGCATTTGTTTCTAATTCATGTTTATTTTATTTCATTGCAAATTCTAGTTCATCTCTTCCAAATGAATATGGAACATTTCATTTGCTGATCTTCTGCATTAATGTGGTCAATATAACTGGAGCTGAAGTGAGCTGTTTGCCAGACTTTCTAACTGCTGCCAAGAAAAACTTGGGTGTCATTTTAGAAAAATCCATGGGTGGAGGAGGACGAGATCATGACCATCTGTCTATGCATCAAAGGCTAAATCATTATAGGGGAAAAATAACTTCTCTGTTGTGTTTGCCAGCCTTGTTCCCCTTCAAAGTAAGTTCAGTTAGTAAGTTTTGAAGACAAACATCTTCAAAATTGTCCTGTGGGCTCAAACGTTTCTTGGAAGGAAGTTGAGGGAAATTTTGAAGGTCAAAACTGCACAATTTGGAAGTGAATGAGATAGCACGAGAATAACATTTGAGGAAAATTTTACAGTCTCCTTCAAATCTTCCCAAATGCTTTCTGTTGCATCCTTTTCTGGTCCAGAATCTACCAGGTAACACATAGGAAGCACATAATCTCTTCCTTGTCCTGAAGACAGTTTACACACATTCCATGCCCCATGGCATTTACAGACTCCTTGACTTAACATTTAACAAAGGGACAACAGACTAACAGCTTTTGAGAGATGTGACAGTAAATATGCACCTGGACCTACCTGAGCCTTAGAATTTCTCTTGTTGGTCAAGATAATAGCCTGAAAAATAAACATTCTGCCAAAATATTGCATAGAGAAGAGGTGCCTTATCTGTACTATAGTTAATACTTTACTCTTTCTATTTGGTTGGATTTTTATTTAATGCAATGCAAAATTAAAGTCTTGGCATCATGCCAAAATCCATCATAAGGAGCTAAAGCAGGAATGTCTCTGAAAAGCCATCAGTCCTTGAAACCTGGAGTCACTATTGCAGGCGTGCCACAGACTCCTTTATCAGTAGTCACTGTGACATAAATGTCTCTCTGATGAGAGTGAAATGACAACAAATGGAAAATGCTGGTAACCATGGGAGCTCTGTTTAGACTGCCACTTCCAGGATGCTACTGCTCTAGTTCAGTCTGCTGCTGTACCCATTGCAGTTCCTGTAAGCTCCAACTTTTAGCATGCTCTCTTGTCAAAACGTTTGCATTTTGCAGTGTGTGACATCTAAGTCCAGACATTATTACTTAAAGATATCACTCAGGTTTCTCTGAACAGGAATCCTTCCTAGTGTCAGTTTTCAAAGGAAACAGTTACAGTTCTTATCAGCAGTATGGAGGTTTTCTTTCTATTGAGATTCTGAATTCTCTCCTTCTTTGAAGATAAGAAATCCCTGCTATCACAGCCTTTATCTGAATATGAATGGATCCCTGGATTTGATAAACTGTTTAGGACTATGAGGATCAAATCCTAAATATGTGTACATTGAGAGTTCAAAAGGTGAATTAATTTCACCTTTGTACAATTGGTATTCTTGATTTCTATCTTTCCTAATAATAAATAGTAAAATTTCAAAATGTACTTTGAAAACAATAATGGCTTTTTGGAGCTACACCTCCTGTTTCAACATCTTAAAATTAAAAATTAAAATATTTTACAGGCAGATCCGGGTGTGACTTTTGGAAAAACAGTCCATGCTTTGTTTTTAATAAATGAAAAATGAAGCAAGAGTGAATTTTTTAAAAGAAGTGAAATGTCATAGCATGTTTCACACATGAAATGTAACAAACACAGTGTTAATTTGCAGTGCATTCTGAACAGAGAACCACAGCATTCCACCAAATCTGGAATCCTTGAAGATAGAAACATTTTAAGTTTCTTTCTAATAGTAACTACAAAGTATTACTTCAGCCTCATGTAATAAAATGCTGCCTTGAAGATAAATGTAAAAAATCTAACCACTGAACAAAGATTTTTAAAAGGTATTGACTATGCAGAAAAATTATACTTTTACATTATTAAAGTTGAATGATACCCTGAGAAAGATCTCAAATTCTGCAAGTTTTCCTAAAATCAAAATGCTAATCTCAATGACATGGCTGAGTTTCCTAAAATATTTGTTTGCATCAGGCTTCTTGAATTATCACCTTTCTCAACCTTTAGTCTTGAATTTTAACAGGATTTGTGTATTCAAGAAAAAAGTTTCAAAGAGTAAAACCTAGTAATCAAGTACTTCTGTGCCACTTGCAGAAATCTTGTGGTAAAGAATGAATCTGGGTCATTACAGTGAAAAGTGTACATATACATACTGTTTCAGAGCATTCTTTTAGGGCTTTTATGAAAAACAAGAGTAGAAGCCTTTCTGCCCTGCCACTCTTCTCACTGTCTACGTGGCCAACAAATAGTTGACCTTGACTAGTAAAATTTACTGTCTGAGATGAATAATAGGATATCTTGTAAAGCAGGAGTGTTAGAAATCTGCGTGGAGGATTGAATTAGAAAACTGCCAGAAGTTCAAGGGCCACATCCATTTTGCATAAAATGAAGCAGATGGTAGCTGACTTAATCTTTGATACCATGGTACAGTCCACAGAGATTATAAATCCCAGCATGAAACACTCCATTTCCTTCTTGCACTGAGCAGGTGATAAAGATAGATATAACATCTTGCAGACATTTTGAAATACCTACCTTAAAAAAATGCTCTATGATGCATTCTTGTTTCTTATCTACATTTTTCTAGCAAAGGTTCTCGTTTTAGCACCTACAGCTAATATTATACAGTTGATTAGCAACCACAACTAATTGGCAGTTTCTTGGCCATGTTATTGGAGCTTTGCCTATGCTGGCCCAGAGATTCCCTGCTTCTCAGAAGCCTCTTTCCTATGTTACACAAGCATTTATAAATCTTCCATCATTGTATATGCCATAACCAGATCAACCAATAGAACAAATGCTCAGAGTCCACATTTGAAATTCCTACACTACTCAGGAGCTGGTGGGACTTGAAAATATTGCTAAGGAGGGGATGTCTTGGGTTGTTCCTGAGGATCATCATCTAATAGGTATTTTACATGACATGAGTGACTAAGACTGTTGGCATTTTTGGTTGAGAGTGTAAGAGATTTAGAGCCTTATACAGAAAATCTTAAATTCAAAACATTTCCCATCATATTAAGCAAAGCAAGTAAACATTTTGAAATTTACTCTAAATCAAACTCTTATTGTGTACATCAAAATTTCAGGAAATCCACACCATCTACATATGCAGACTAAGGGAGCTTATGATAAAACTATGTGTTATGAATATACTGAGTCACTCCCTGCAGACCTCTCTGTGTTGCACCATATCAACTTAATGTTGGGTATGACTTGTGATTTAATTTAAAGGATTTTAACTGGTTTTAAGTAAAGTTTAAGTTTAAGTTTTCAGTTCTACTGCTAATATTCAGATACAAAATACTAATCTTAAAAAACTGGTATTCCAGACTGAAGAAGGCTAAAGTCTGAAGTCAAAGAACAGAATAATCTTGTTAATTGCCCACAACTTGCTAATATGGTGTGAAATCCATTGGATATCTGGTAATAAAAACTGTGTTGTCCTTTGGAAATATGCATTTTCTGTAATAAGATTTAAAATGTAAGCGCTAGAATGTTCCTAAACTTTTAGAATATCCAACTACTATACTTGGAGAAGTTTTACTTTCATTTATAGACCCTTACAAAGGCATAGATGAACTATGACAGATTTTGGTGTAACTACTTCGTAAGGAAATAATTCAGACATGATTACAGGAGACTGATCTTTTAATGGGAAGATGACTAGAAAGCCTCATTCATGTGGAATTGTGGGTGCTTCTCTTTCTCTTTTAGGGTGTTTTCCCTAAAAGAAAAACAGACAGTGTTTTGTCATCTAAAGCTATAACCAGTATAACTCAGTACTGGTGGGAACCAGCCTCAGCCCATCTGCTTTGCTCTGATCTGCCTGCACAGAGCAAACACAAATCTGGGTGGGTTACAGGAAGCACAAATCCCTGGCATTGCTGTGTGAGTTTGAGGCCCTGCTGCCCTTCTCCCACCCAGGTGCTGCCACTGGACATAGCTTTGCAGCTCTGAACTGCTTGTCAGGGTCTGCCTGAACCTTTAAAAACTGTCTGAGAGCTGAGGGAAGCTCAAATACTTTGTTGGAACCTGCTGAGGCTGCAGCTCTCCCTGTTTGTACTTTCCAATTTTTCATTAGTAGTTCCAATCTCATTATGTGGTAACAGCTACAGAGCCAAAGACTTGTACCCACTGCTCCAACTGGAACAGCATTAGAGCTGCTATGATTTGTGTCAGGGTCTGACTCAGTGCAAAACTTCAGGGGCATCACTGCAAACTGAGGTTTTCCATGTCTCATGAGAACAGCCCCAAGCCTATACAAGCTGTAATATTTCAATTTTATAGATGAGAGAGATGAAATTATTTCTTTTGATATTACAGATATGTCCAGGATATCCAGAAATTTATGTTCTTGCCCTAACACTGCAACAAAACAAAAAAATCAAGAGGAGAAAGCATTTAGAAATTATTGTAACTACATCTTTTTTTTGCCCTTTGAGGATTTTGTTTTCAAGCAATGGCTTTCTCTCACAGCTTTTAATACTTAACTAGTCATTTTCATCAGATGGAGTTGTTGTAATTTGTTACTTCTATGTTCCAATTATGAAATATGACAGAATTCTAAATATTTAATGGGAATGGGATTATTACCAATGTGCCCTTGTTGCATGCTGCATTGTTATCCTCTTTAGTATTGTAAAATATATGATGTACCTGTAGAAAAGAGACCTTAGTAGTGCATACAGATGGAATTGAATTCCTAAAGCAGTCATAGGTTTGCAAGTTTTATTCTCAAGGTCTCCATACAGATTCTTCAGATTATTATACATGAACACTGGTGAAAAATGCTTTGCCCATCTTCTTTTAATACTGTAACTCCACATATGATTCAAAGATACACTGGTACAAAATGATCAGTTTGATTACACCCTAAAATGGATGTTTTGGTTGGTGTGCAACTGATGGTAAGTTTATTTTACTGTATGGGATGTATTTTTTGCAGATTACAATGACCCTCAGGTTATTTTGGTTCTTGTTCACATTTTAAATTAATTCTTCTAATATCCTTTGAGAAAGGTCAGATTCACACAAAGATCTATAGAGAAATGGTGTCATTTAAAATGGAATAGTGCAAAACATTACGGTTTTACACTGAGAATCATGCAGTGAGACCTTTGGTTCATGTCTTAACCCACTGAATGAAGATTATTATAATATCTGGTAGTCAGTGCAAGAACTTGGGCTGGAAAGCCTTGATTATTCACTTGCTATTGGTGCTTTTTGCAAGAGAAATCTATGTTGCTAGAAAAACACAGATTTTTGTTTAAAGGGGGTATGGCAAAAAGAAAGACAAGTGCTTTATGGCTCCTATGGTAAGCTTTTCCCACCAAAAGAACTAATTCTAGGTTGGCAGCGTATCTGCAATGGTTGAAATTAAAATCTTACTGGCCTCTTCAAAAATGTAGCAAACTGGTGTCAGATTTTGATATAAGCAAGAAATATAAAAATAGAACAGCAGCCCAAAACATTCACTGCTCGTAGGAAGATAGACAGAGACAAGCTTGCAAAGTACTTTGGGTTGTGTTACAGGTCAAGCTCAACCAATATTAAATCAGTTGTGGGAAGAGGAAAGTCATGACAAAGTCAAATTTCCTTTATAGAATACCTGGTGAGACCAGCAGAGTTACTCTTAAACAGAGAAATTGTAGCAACCACAGACAAAGGCTGCATTGAGAATAACTAAAATTTGTTATACAGTGGCCAAGAAGAACACAAAATGACATTATTTCTGAGTTGCTGTAGTGAAGTGAGATACATGGTTCATCTCATGTAGTAAAAGCAAGAGCTCTGCCAAAACAGCAATAAACTACCCACCTTCTTTTCTGCTGCCAAATGTTCTCGGGGCCACCAGAGACATTGATCAGGCCCGTGTCAGTCACTGGCTCCTACTGCTTTCATTGCACTGTAAGTCACAGCAGTCCCACCTGGGTCTGCTGATAAAAAAGCTAATTTTCATCTCTCATGGGCCTCTTCTCATTTCTGTGAGACACTGTCACAGACCAGGCTATCTCCTGTGCCCAAGCATCCAGTTATTCAGCCATCTAGCCAGCTCTCATTCTTCTGGATCTTGACTACTGCAAATATAAAGCAAATCAAAGGCTTTTTAAAAAGCTTTTTTTCCTCATTAACTGAAGCCCTTCCTCCTCACTTCAGCCTCACATTGAGGTTCTGTCCAGGTGACAGCAAGGATAGCATCCAACCCTTCCATTAGTTAAAAAGAAAACTTACTTCAGACTATTCCTTAAAATTCTCAAAATGTCTATTTTCTCACTTTACATTATAAAAAAGTCCAACAAGAGTAATCAGAAATCAAGCATAATATTTGCACAGGAGAGGTGGTTTCCCTGAAAATGGTGAATGAATTAATGTATTTTTCAAATGGTGAGCATGAGGTCTAAGACCTGGCTTTTCATAACAACATGGAAATCATGAGCAGGTTGGTTTTAGCACTGACTTCAACTACTGGGAATTAGGAAATGGAATTAGGTTGCATATGGATGTTAGACTTCTTAATGACTCATGAAAAGAAAAAGAGTAGTTAGGCACAAAGAGTATCAAATAAATTGGTGTTGGTTTTTTGCTATGAAAAAACTCTGAAGATGCTTGTCCCATCTGTATGGGATAGATCACAGAAGAAAAGCATAACTTAAAACTGATGTCATCACAATTATTGCTATTCTGCATCTGCCTAATTTCTAGTTGCTTAATTTAGTTGTTTAACTCTTCTTCAAACAGGATTTTAATTTATGTTATCTGTTATCATTTTCTCGGTGTTGTCTAAAATTCATAAGAAATTGAACCAAAACAATAAATATCTAACCAAAGACACTGCAGAAGCCTTTCTAACTTCAAAACATTTTATTTTAACAAGCTACAGTAGAAATCAGTAAAGTTAAATAATTGTTATGCAAATCAGCACAATATTGTATTTCTGGATGGTGAGGAAGCTATGTTGGGTTAATGGATAAAAGAATACCTGGAGGTTGATGTTTAAAATGATCCATTTATCATGTGGGTACATTTTATTCCTCTCCAAAATAGTATCAAATTGGAAGTACCTTAGAAGAATTAGATGGCTATATGATTCCAGGAGAACAGTATCTCTGCCCCTATTACAGATCAATAGGAGGTTCATGTGAATGAATGAATGAATGAATGAATGAATGAATGAATGTGGCTGCTCCTGCAAATCCTTTTCAATTAGCTGTTGAAATAGAAAACTCATCTGAGAAACTGCTCTAAAATAATAACACATGCAAGCACTTTGCCACTGAACAAGAGCATTCCTGTAGTTAAAGCCACTAGAGACAGTTTATAATTAATGCCAGATTTTTCACAGGTGCATTTTTTATATATTTTGTCAGGGTATTGGCATTTTGTCTGAAAGGTGCAACTTTGGTCCACACAGAATATACTGATAGAAGCAAGGTGTGATGTTAAATCTGCAAGTGAATTAATTACACTTGGATAACTTCCAGAAAGATTATTTTATTTAAAAATTAACCTTTTGTCAATGTCAGAAAGTCTTCTCTACAATAATAGCTATGAACAGAAGGCTAAGTATCATTGCTTCATATATACCACTTCTTGATATTCTTCTTGGTAACTCATACTTCTCTTTCCTGAAAAGTAAAATATTACCCTATCTTGAACCACCAAAGTGATGAGCTGTTTTTCACTGACTTGTACATGGCCTTTTAAAACACTGATTCTGGGGACTGGCAGACCTGGTGAGTAATTCTGGCTTACAGTACAGCATATGCACAGTGTTTACAGTGGTTTAGAAAACATGCCAAAATACTGCTTTTTAAAATTCTGTCATATTCACATAGGTATCTTGTTTATTGTAGAAGTTTAATATCTGTACTCCACCTGTCTAAACAAGCAGAGCACTTGACTGATTCATGGTTAATGCTTCCCAAGGAACCTCTATACTAGAAGTGGGACACTGGAGAAAACAACTAGTCTGACATCTTTTGTTTGTGACAACAAAATTAACCACAAACCACAAATTGTTTAGGGCTTCAGTGTGTTGATAGATATTCAAGGTCTAGAAAAAATATTTTTTACTGCACACAGATTTGTACTAATACAGTAGCATAATTAAGGAAATCACCCTGCAAATGTCTCCTGCAGGCACATAAAAACCATTTGTTAGAAATCTGTGGCATGCAGAATGTTATGATCAAGATCCCTTAAAGAATTCTGTGCAGATTCTGTTCACCTGTATTTTTTTGTCAGTATGGATTCTACTGCCATTGCATTGTTGTGATTTAATGCTGCTTTTTCATAAAATGTAAAGTTAATCTATGGCTGTTTTAACACCAGAATGGCATTTCTGCTGTCCTCAGCCAGAAGAATTTTCAGCCAGTGCCTATGCAATACTATCAATTGTAATGTCATATGAAATTCCAGTTTTTCTCTGTGAATCCTTACTCAGAGATCAAACATGCATCTGTCAAACTTTGTTCTCCTATAACTCTAACTCTACATCTGTTTAAGATGTAGCTCTACAATATTTTATTGCTACAGGCTCTGATGCCATGCTGGCCTCTATTGCTATTAGCCCATGATGTGAGTCTACAACACACAACTTTACTGTAGCTGGGCTGAAATGTTACATTGGCCAGCCAGACACAGAATTTGAAGACAGAAATTAAAGGATATTTTTACAAATTTTATGCATTTATGCAACCCTGGAAACAGGGATAGTAATAAGGCATATTGAGAGGAAATGGAGAACTATGGAGTATTGAGATAAAGAAAACAGAGCAAAGATACTGAACTTGAAGTGAGGTCATGAATTCTCAGAAAAAGAAAGAGCTGTAATTTCTAGTTTGAAACTTAAGACCATTATTATTTTAAGAATACTTGTAGGACTCAGAAAAGTAATATTCATATATTCAGCAAAATAGTTCTGTTTGTGAAGAACAGCAAAGAAAAGTTAGAGGTGACAGAATGACACACAGAGTGTCATTTGGACTTCAGCTGTCATTTGGGAGCCAGCTCAGACTCTGATGGCTCATGTGCCATCCATGCCCTCAGAGTTCAGGAGTTCCTGGGATATAACAGTGCTTTCCTTTTCTTTCCTCAGGTCTGTGAGAATCACAACAAATGAAACTTGACTCTTGCATACAAACTGATGGAAGCCACATTTGTAGCATTTCTCAGACCTCTCCTGGAGAGAGCAAGGATCTCTTCATTTTAAGTCTCATCCTGGGTATCTTCTTTAACAAAAATTTGAAGTTCTTAATAACTTTAAAGGAGTATCTACTACTTTATCAAATTTGTCTCAAATCAGCCTATGTGCTCAAAACCTATTAACAGGACATGTGTGCTATGGTTGCACAAATCTCCTTTCCTTACTAAACTAGGCCAAATACCTCTAAGAAGCCAAATGAAAGTTCAATCTTTTAGAAATTACATGAAAAAAAAAATTTCTTTTTGACAATCCTACCAAATTTAGTATCATGTTAATCCTACTATTCAAATATGCAGGAATAAATAAGAAATTATATTCTTTACATGCATTTTTGACTCTTCCTCTATGCTTCTACATGAGAAGTAATTTTCAATCAAGCTGTTTAGAACACCTGAGATATTCCTCAGCAAATGATTGCCTTGTCTGAGCCCAGTCAATATTGACACCAACGAGGCATGCATCACCATGCATTCAGATGCATTTTGCATTTGGATTGAAGAACAAACCACTCCAGGCTGTCAGACACACATAACCCAGGTAGGATGCATGCATTCTGCCTTGTACTTTGCCAAGGGAACTCTAAACTGGCAAAATTTTAGTTGAGGACCAAATATTCAAGAATCTGGAGATGATGGAGAGCCTTGACAATATCAATTCTATTTTAGAGTTGCTGCTTACAATTTTGTTTTGTAGGTTTTCTTGAAGAAAACAAAAAACTTCTCCTAAAAACACTGCATGCCCAAAGAAGGGAGCCTGAAATAAAGATAAAAAGTTGACTGAATACTGAGGCAAAAAGGAAATAGCTGTGTAGATATGAGGCCTGTTGGACAGCTTTATAAATAGAAGTCAGTGGATCACAAAAAAACCCCAAACAAAACAGCACAACCTTTATTTTACTAAGGTTTTTAAAAATATATAATTCTACTATTTTAAAGTTATCATTCATGTGCTACAAAGGAAGTTTCTAAAACTGAAATATGTTTATATTCTAGAGACTGTTCTTAGTAGAGCCTGGCCAAATACAGCTGCTCAAAGACAGGCAACAATGCAGTAGTGAAATGAAATAAAGTCTTTAAAAAGAGGGCAATATTTCTGCTGGTTCCTAAACTGCATAAAGAAGCATTAATGCAAAACCCCAGGACACAACTGGCTAAATTAAGCAAGAAATGGTGGAAGTGATGCCACCTTTCATCCTAACGTCCAGTCCCTAATGCATTCATCTGGGAGAAGGCACTAGGCAGAGAAGACCCGTGCCTGTTTGAGGAGACTTTCAGAAGGGATTTTGAAATAAACCTCCTTGTTTTGTTTCATCTAAGTGTACACTGAGTCAGAATGACTCAAGTCTGATATGTAAACCACACACTGGGGAGATGGGACATCCTAGACTTTTAATCTCTGTTCAGATAGATATTTATCATTCTTGAAGTGAAACAACTAAATCAGAGAAGAGTACCCCAAATACCCTGTGAAAATCTGGTTAGATCAGATCTGTGGGAAGTGTTGAGCCTACAGAAAAGAAGACGTGTCCCCTTACAGACTGTAACTGATTGGCTACTGGATAAGACAGCAGTTCCTGTTGGTTTCTGTTTTGTTATCCTAATGTTTTCTTTCCTTTCAGTTTGGAAGCCAGTTTGATAAATAAAAATCAGTTATTGGCACAGACTTTCTCAGAATTCATGGACAAGTTTTACAGATGTGATGATAATGCCAAGAAATTACCTTCAGTTCTCATTTTCTTAACAGAAACTCCTAAGCAAACACATTGTTACTTTTAAAGAACATAAAGAAATTTAACAATCTAAAGGTGTGTCACTTTCTTCTTACAGTGATTGATCCAGAGTTGCTGATACCTCAGCAGAAATTTTGAACAGTATTGTGCTAAAGGAATATTACATGTAACAGATTTTCTGTCTTTATTTCTTATTATAAGTTTGGGGGGTTTGGATGATGAGAAAATTCTGCTTAGAAGCTTAGTAATGTGTTTCCATGTTTATTTGTCAGGTACTTTCAAATTCATCCCAATGGCAACTCATTGTGATACAATGTGAGTTATTTTTATGATTTCAAAGTAGCAGCATTGTTTATCACTTCTGGTACATTCTGCAATAGTTTAAAAGCTGCATTGGAACATTGTACTTCTACAAGTTTTAACTCACTTTTTTGGAGTTGTCTTTTCTTTTTTTCTCCTTTCTCCTGTCTCCTTTCCTTTCCTTTCCTTTCCTTTCCTTTCCTTTCCTTTCCTTTCCTTTCCTTTCCTTTCCTTTCCTTTCCTTTCCTTTCCTTTCCTTTCCTTTCCTTTCCTTTCCTTTCCTTTCCTTTCCTTTCCTTTCCTTTCCTTTCCTTTCCTTTCCTTTCCTTTCCTTTCCTTTCCTTTCCTTTCCTTTCCTTTCCTTTCCTTTCCTTTCCCCTTCCCCATCCTTTTTTAAGGAATTATCCTACATTTTTCTGCTCAAAAGAATGTGGTTTGCTTCTGTAATCCTATACAAGCAATGGTTAATATTTTGCATGAGTTAATTAATTTTTACAAGTCACAACAAAAGGAAGCATCATAGAAGAAATTTTCACTTCCTGTTAACAAGGACACATGCTGTTGAATATCTGTTCACCATATTTTAATGAACTACAATATCCTGGCAAAATAACAGACAACACCCTTTCTTTCTCTGACAAGGCTTGTGAGAGAGGAAAACAATCTGGCTGTAGGATTGCACAATTGCTGTCAATAAAACAACTGCTCCAATAAATATATATTACTCACTTTTTCTTTTTAAAAAGCAGTAAATATGACTGTAAACTTTACCCAGTAGTGTAATTTTTCAACAAGAAGTCCAGGTTGTCCGTTGAGTTGGTGTTATGTCACCTTTCATGCTCTTTAAGACTTCTGTCAATATAAGACAGTCTGGAATCACCTCAGTGGAACAATGTTCTTTACTGCTGAGTTACTTAATGGAGTAGAAGTGGATGCAAAGGCTAAACCAAAGAGCCATTTCCTTGGATTTTCTTTACCATGTGGATTACATACAGCAGTAGACATTTTGGATTTAATTTCTTTAAATAGGAAGGATAAAAATCCAATAAACAAAGTGTATGCCCTGTGTCTCTGCTCTGAGAACTGGGTGAGCAGCTGCAGTAAGTAGATGTACATAGCATCATTTTCCCAAGATCAATTTCTTAAATAAAAACTAAATTATCTCAAATATTATTTCTTTATGTTAACCTACTGAACTTCTTTTAACCTGAAGCTGCCATGAAAAACTGCTTGGGAAAAAAAAAAAAAAAAAAGAAACATTTTTCTTTTGCTTCCAAATGAACACACTGGATTTTTAATACTGATGGCTCTGTAGCCATTTTCACTCTGATACAGCTCATCCAACTCACACATTTCTTGTAACTTCAAGCAGCTTAAGACTGTGTTTTCATCTGGTGAGTTAGGGTAATGTTGACAGGAGAAATATATACATGCTGATGAGACACTGGCTCTCATAGATGATAATTTTTTATTGTTATTCTGCATAATGATATGTTGGAAGTATTTAAAAAGGTAAATTATGGTTTGGGTTGAGGTTTCCTTCTTCATTTACAGAAGCCTACTTCCAAAGACTGGAAGCTGATGCTTTCTTCAGGGTTGCATATTTGAGACTTTTCATATTGTCTTGAAAAGGACACCATAAACATGTTACATGTGCCTAACAAGCAGTGCAAAATAATGTTATAAACACATTAGATCACCCCTCAGTGTTTATACTTGTGCCAAATTCCTGAAGGTATGATACTGTAAGAACAAACCACAGCAGACTAAATGCAATCAATTTTACAAGTGTACCTTATGGAATAAATGAGTAAAGCATACATGTGTTGAATAATGTTTGTGTTGCAGATGTTCATTTAGTATCTGTTTGTGCATTCATAGTTCCAGGCTTCCCATCTGAACATATCTATTCTAATGAAGCTTTGGCAGCAGCTTCAGTTGCAATGTCATACGGGTTGGTACTTGCTGTCTGTGTCTAGTGCCTCAAAGAATAACAAACAATATTAAACAAACCCAAACTTCAGTGCTAATGAGCAAGACATCCCCACTCTGCTCCAGGTGTTTTACTGACATACAAAATCAGGACTAGACAGTTGCCCTCTGACTCCCAGATCACCTTCAAATAGTGACTAGACACAACAGGGAGTTTAGGAGAGTTTAAAATAAAAATAGTAATAAAAAAATCATCATTAGGTGTATTTGTCACAGAAATTTAGTTGTGCTTCCCCCAGTTTTTTTAACCTGCAACAAGCAAGAGAAGCAGTTTGTATCACTGAAAGAGATGGCAATCAATCAATTTCTCTGGCACAGATTGTGCTTTTTAAGGCAAAACCCAGAAACTGATGAGAGATTGCTATCAATACCTTTCTACAGGTGAAGGAATGTCTCTTTAGCAACTGAGTCCCAGGCCAGCAGACTGTAACAACAGATGAAGTAATTCAGACTAGTTAACTTTCAAGCTTAACTGCACTGCTACAGTCAACAGTGCATGAATGCTGCCCTACTGCATGAAATCCAATTGTTTTATCAGCTCCTGCTAAGTTTTTCTTTAGAGTATATCATATGTTTGCAGCTTACCCTGTAATTCTTTTGTAATTATGGGGAGTATTTCCTATCCTTGAGTAATTTGTGTTTTAGAGTTATGAAAGATTATTAATTCTCACTTGATAAACTCTGGTTTGCTCCTATGCCCTTGTGGGATGGTGTGAGACATTCACCCCAATCTGTCCAAGGACTTAAGGCTTTGAAGAACAGACAGAATGCAATTGTGCACCACTGGAATGCACAAATTTAATCACAAAAACGTACAGAGGGCATCGTGGTTCTGTTACTTCGCAATTTTTCAATGTTTTACCTTGCAATCTTCATATTCTCTTTATGTTTATCTTGCTTTAGATGGAGCATAAATACCTGCAATGATTTCTCAGCAGGTAAATTAGTAGTTGAAAATGTGTGTTTCAAGTAAATGGACTATTTCCCAGTCACTTTGCTTCAAATAAGTTCAACTCTGGTTCCTATCCTTTAGCTATGTTTTCTGCCTAATATTAAGAATATTTTTTCTCTCTTTTTTCATCCTTCTTTGTCAGAAGGGCAAGTTTAGTAATTGTTTAACAACTAAACTGTAATAACCAAAGGATTTAATGACATAATCACTAAACAGCAATTATTTAATTACTAATGAGTTTTTTTCTTCACTTCTCTAAGATTCCAAACTACTCTGTAAGCATCTCAAGGCTAAAGATACTAGTTAAAATGAATAGAATATTTTCCAGAATAAATACAGTACTCATGTCTTTAGTGCTTAACCTCACAAGGAGAGGGACACTTCACTCATTCATCTAAAAAAATACATATATTTGAGAGGGAATTTACACAAAATAAACTGTGTATTTCTGAAGGTAGTTATGGCAGATAGTACAACAATAAGTTCTGAGAAGTATGGTCTGAAAAAGTTGAGTACTTTCAGTTTAAGTACTCAAAAAAAAAGTAGAGTACTTTCTTTCCTATTATTTATCTTCAAAAATCACCAGAAATATTTTCATATTTTACTAAACGATCATACTTTGGTGGGGGTTTTTTTGTCCTTTTTTTTTTGTGGCTTTTTGTGGCTTTTTTGTTGTTGTTGTTGTTGTTGGGTTTTTGTTTGTTTTCTGTTTGTTTTAGTTTTGTGTTGTGCTTGGTTTTGTTTTTTTAACTTTTGGTTGGTTGCTTGGTTGGGGTTTTTTTTGTTATTTTTGGAGTTTTTAAATTAAAGGAATAATGGACATAAAACCTGAAAAAAAACCCCCAAATTCAAATTTGGGAGCATTCTAAGTTATTGGCCAGGATGAGACAGCACTATAGACAAAAAGGCATGAGAAAACTGCATTACTTTTCATTGCACTATGTCACCTTTCGAATCAGAGATTTTCGTATGCAAATTCTGAGGCGAGGGAAACCGCAGCTCTTGGAGGTGCTGTGCTTCAGGGCAGTTTTCTCCAGCAACTGTGACTGCATTGCCCAGGTAAGGCTGTGTCCAGCGACATCCCACTGAAAGTAATGGCAATGTTTTACTCAATAAAGCTTTAGAAGAGTTGATCATGTATTTGACTGATATTTAACCCAGCGGGGAAATGAGAACACAGGTGCACAACGAACCTTCAGTCTGAACAGCATCGAGTATCTGTGCTGCTCCACTGACTGCAGCAGCACGCTGTGTGCTACATTCTCCGCTGCCTCTATTCGATGTCAACTGCGGGCACAGCTGTCCCCGGCTTTGTTCGGCCCCAGGGCAGTGGGGGGTTCCCGCTGCTGGCTGTCCGCAGGGAAAGGCCTGCCCGCCGCCCCGAGCTGCCCCGCGGCTCAGCGAGCGGGAACCGCGCCCGCGGTGCCGCTGAGGGGAACCGTGCTGGGCCCTGGGGCGCGCCCGGGACCGGGACGCGTTCTTCAAGTGCCCGTTCGGTGCTGGCGGCCCCGGGGGCAGCTGCAGTTGGAGCTGCAGGCTCAGCTCGCAGGAGAGTTCGGCAGGAAGCCGTGAACTGCCGACCCTTTGCACAACAAAGGGCTCGGGGACCAGCGGCCCGGCCAGGTGAGGGACACACAGACAGGAGCCAACGACCCCAGAGTTTCATACCCTTAGACTGTGAGGGTATAAAAGCCCGGATCCCTCCCGAGAGGTACCCTACTCGAGCTGCTATTTTATGATTTAGTTACTACACCACGATTAAATTATTTTAAGGCATTGCTATGTAAAACCTGTGGCCGAGCTGGTAAGGAAATCTGGTCTGTGTCAGTGTGGGAGGTGCAGCTGCAAAAGGGCTTTGGTCCCAGCTCAAGGGGTGCAAATGTCACAGCCAAAGAGGTTCCTAGGTAGTGGAGCACACAATCTTAGAATGGTTTGGGTTGCAAGGGATCTTAAAGATCATCTAGTTCCAAACCTCTTGCTGTGAGCAAGCACATGTAGAATGAGACCAATTGCTCAGAGCCTCATCCAACCTGGCCTTGAACATGTCCAGAGATGAGACAGACACAATTTCCCTGGGCAACCTGTTCCAGAGCTTCACCACCCTCACAGTAAAGAATCTTTTCCTTAATATCCAATCCAAACCTACTCTCTTTCAATTTGAACCCATTTCCCCTGACCCTGTCACTGCATGCTCGGGGTAAATAGTTTGCCTCATCTTTTCTGGAAGTTACCTTCACCTACTGAAAGGTTGGAATTCGGTTACTATGAAAATCTTGTCTTTTCGAGGCTGAACAATCCCAAATCTCTAAAGCCTTTCCTCATAGAAGAGGTTTGCGTACCTCTGATCAATTTGGTGGCCTTCTCTGGACTTGCTCCAACAGGTCCTTTCTGTGCTGGGACCCCAGAAAGAGATGCAGTACTGGAGGTGGAGCCTCACCACAGTGGAGGGGCAGAATCCTCTCCCTCCCATGCTGCCCACACTGCTTTGGATGCGGCCCAGGGCACGTTTGACTTTCTGGGCTTTAAGTGAGCATTGACGGCTCATCTTAAGCCTTGAGTCCACCAGCATTTCCAAGTCCTTCTTGGCAGGGCTGCTCTCGATCTGTTCAGTCCCAAGCCTCTGTTGATACTGGCTGGTTTCCCTGACAGCATGGCAGTGGCCCTGTGTGCCCTCACCAAAGCAGAGAGCAGGCAGTGCGAGGCTGGGCTGGGGCTGCTGGGCATGAGGCCTGGCCTACCGCAGCGGTGCGGACCGGGTCATGAGGCCCAAAACCAGCAGCAGCTCCTGGTAGCAGGACTGTGAGGCGCGACACATGGCGGCGATGCTATACCAGGCTGTGATTCCCGGCGGTGTTGTGTTATACCAGGCTGTGAGGCCCGGCACATGGCGGCGGTGCCATCCGGGGTGTGAGGCCCAGCACATGGCGCAGGCCCCGCCCCGGCCCGGCCCGGCCCCGCCCCGATCGCGGGCACCGCGATGTGTCCGACCCGCGGTTCCCGTCAGGCAGCGCGCGGGGCTGCGGCCGCCCCCGCCTCCTGCCCGCGTTCCCTCGGCGGCGGCGGCGCTGAGGTGGCGCCGCGCCCCGGTGAGGTGAGCGAGGCGCTTCAGTCGGCGCTGCCCCATCCCCCGCCGGCCCGGGCGGCAGGGAGTGGCTGTCCCGCCGCGGCCCCTACGGACGGGAAGCACGGTAAGGTCAGCCTGTTCCATGCCCCCGGCCCGCCCTGCCGCGCTCCCCGCGCGGCGGGAGCAGCGCTCGGAGGGGACGGACGCGGGGGGATTGTCGCCGGCGAGACCGGCGCCATCTTAGGTCGGAGCGTGGCCTGGCGTCCCCGAGCGGGGCCCCCGCGCTGTGAGGGCCCCCGCGAGCCGCCCGCGGGCCCCGCTGGCACCGTCCGGTTCTGCCCTCGAGGGCGGCCCGGGCAGGGCTCGCTCCGCCCGCAGTCGGCCGCGTGGGGCCCTCCCAAGGGCCCCGGGCGTTAACAGCAAGAGCGGCGCTGGCGGCGCGGCTCAGCTCGGCCTCCTCCCTGCCGGCCGTGGCTCTGCCGTTCGGGCCTCGCCCAAACCGGAGCCCCCGGCTCGAGCCGAGTGCCGGCGGTCACCGGCGCGGGACGCGGGGCGGTCCGGCTGCAGTGGCAGCTGTTCGCCTGCCCTCGGGACTCGGCTGCTGCCACGGCCTGGTACCACCGCGGCTCGGCGGCGTGAGCTGCTGGCGGGCTGGCACCGCCGATATTGCCCTTCCCTAGGCGGAGCTTGTGCCTTCTCATGGCCCAGAGGGCAGCGTTGGCTCCTGAGGTTTGTGTTTAAGGGAAGTGGGTTTACGCTTTGGTTTTTTAACTATTTTCAGGTGCCCTTTTAGCTTGATCATTGTTTCTTTGCTACTAAACAAATGAAGCCCTCAATTAAAATCCAGTTGTTCCCAGTCCTGGTGGAGCTGTGGATTGTACACCCTTCATCAACTAATACGGTGGAAAGTTATGTGCCTGTATGGGACGTTATCTGAGCTATACATCATGTAGTCCGTTGTGTGATCTGTGTTGTAAATAAGGTAACTTCTCTGGACATTTGAAATGCAGGTATTAAAGTGGGGGGAAAATTTTAATTTAGCTATATGAGGAGTGGCTGAGGTCACTTGATCTAGAGAAGAGGAGGCTGAGGGCAGCCCTTATGGCAGTCCTCATGAGGGAAAGAGGGACAGACACTGATCTCTGTGGTGACCAGTGACAGGACCCGAGGGAATGGTTTAAATGTGTAAGGGGAGATTTAGGTTAGATATTGGGAAAAGATTCTTCACCCAGGGAGTGGTTGGGTACTGGAAGAGGCTCCTCAGGGAAGTGGTTATAGCACCAAACCTTCCAGTTCCAGAAGAGTTTTGTCAATGCTCACAGGGACGTGATGGGATTGTTAGGGATGTCATGTGCAGGACTAAGGGTTGGACACTGTGATCTTTGTGGAACCCATCCAACTCAGAATATTCTGCCATTCTATATGAAATGGTGACAAGGCTAGTCTGACAAATTTCTGGTTAGTGTAAATGTCCTCACTCTTTGAGCTCACTACCAATTTCATTTTAATTATTTGACTTTAGGCCAATCCAAGGAAGTTTTGAGTATTGGAAGGCTCACTTGAGCTTAACGGTGGAACAGACAAATTCCCATCTGAAGTGGTAACAGGATTTTCAATAACTCTTAAGTCTTACTGTGGCTCTATCTACTGTGATTTTCTATAGTGCCAATTTCTGTCCATCCTTGTGGTGCTCTTCTACAGATCATTGTGCTGTTTTCACTACAGCTGTTATCCTCTTGATACATTTACTTAAATTAGATAATTTTTTGTTGTTTCTATGTGAGTGCTTTTAAATCCTAGCTTTAAAGAAAAAGAGGTTATAAATACAGTTGGCTTTTAATAAAGTTAGGTATTTTTAAACCTAACTGCCATGATAAAGATGGCTGAAATAGTACTTTTAAAACAGTTATTTCATCAGAAGCTTATTGCTGTTTAGGGCAGTGAGCTCTCATTTTGTAATCTGTCCTGTATCAGGTTTTTAGTTCATCACTTTTCTAGTAACTAAAATAGTGTTCCAGGGCTTGTGTTTTTGCAGGTTGTTGGTTATTTGTGCCTGCCTAATGAACTTCCATAGTTATGCTTAGTTTTAAATGGGCAGTTGCTTTTTAAAGCAATATCTTGATAGTCTATACTGTTATTTTTAAAGTGTTTTAAAGAACTTGTTCATAATTTTGATGCTTTACCTTACAATACCAGTTTCAACACTTTCTTTGTGTCTATGCATACAGCATTGCATTGGAGCTTTGGACCTCTCAGTTCCATGGACTACCTTTAAGGAAATGTGTGTATAAACATGAATATATGCTTATGCACATTAAAAAATGAGGAAGATAAAGTCTATTGTCAGTAGGTTTACTTTTTTTACACTGGTGTCTGAACCACCACTGGGAAATATTTAAGCAGAGTGGGGGAAGGATTCACTTGGTTGGTTTTGTCTTCGAGAGCACTGCTAGCAGGATTCCTAGAATACATTTTGTGTGTTAGTGTAGTTAAAAAAGCTAAAAATTTGGAAGCTATTTGTCCTCTAAGCATGGATGTAGATGTTTCCTTTGGCAATGGAGACCACTTACAGGAGCTGTTCCTGTACATCTCCTCTAATCCAATCAATCACCCCTTACTGCACTTTTGATTGTTCAGGCTACAGATTTTTGATTTCTCAGTTGTGCTGATAAAACTGTTACTAGGCCAGGTTATTTTTAACCTGCTCTGCTTTACACCATAGTTCTGTGTAAAGTTGGGTTGGCACAACTGAGGACACGGTGCAGGAGCAGGGCAGGAACTCATTAGGCCAGCTTTCTTCCCAGGAAAGAACTCAGTGAAAGCTTGGCTTCACATTATAACATTGTAATTAAAAAAAAAGTTAAAAGATGTGAAATTAATAATGATACTTGCCTTTTAAAAGATGCTCTGTATTTTGAGTCACCTTTAAGAGTATCTTAATGTGCATATCCTGATGCATAAAATGAAATATCCATACGAGGTATCAGCAGTTGGTGTCACTTTCTAAAAGCCCATGGCTGTGTTATCAAATTTCTTTTAACTGTATTTAAGGAAAAAATTGGCTGTGTTACAGTGTAGGTGAGGTTACATGTATCTTGTTAGGATTCTGCTAACATATATCATTGCTTGTGCCTATTTTGTCTTTTTAGTAGAAATTGCATTGCATCCTCTGAGCATATTTTATAATTTATTCCTTTTTTCTCCTGAGGTCAAGTAATACTAAATTCTTAAAATAAAAACAATGATCGTTTATGTTGTCTGTTCTGTAAAAGAAGTCTCTGAAATAGTAATTTATTTTGCCTTAAAGCCTATTCAACTTTGCCTCAGTGTTATTTAAAAAAATATTCTAAAGAATGTCCTACAGAGAAGAAAAAGTTTTAGTTAGGCTTGATTCTCTTTCCGAGACCTGGCGTGTGGCCTGTGTTGTCTCTATCAAGTGGAAATCACTTCAGAATCTACCTTTTCCCCCATACAGTAATTTAGTTTAGTGTCCTGTTCTCTTTTCTAGCACCATGTCTGACTTCAGCACTCTCAGCTGATGGAGGAAGCCAACGAGGAGCTCAGCTCTGTGTAGTGGGTCTGGCACTGGCCAAAGGTGTAAATCCAGCAGACACAGAGCAGTCTGGGGACACAGGCATCATCAAGTCACCCCAGGGCATTTCTCTACTGTATTTCATCTCAGATCTTAACATGTGCTAACACCAGCAGCCCCATTCTCATACAAGCAGAGGATGATTGTCTGCTCCCCTGATAAGCTGTAACAGACTAATTATTTCTGATGTCTTATTAGATTATTGGTGCTCCATGTAAAGAAACAGCAAAATTTCTTACTTATTTGTTCAGAAATACATTCAAGGTTATGTTAAAAGAATAAAAACTTTATTGGCCATCTCTGTTTATTTAAAAAACAAATAAAAACAGTTGTGATAAGATATGCTGATGTAAATTTGGTTAATTCCAAAAAGTACATATTTTTTATGACTAGTTCTATACATGACTTTTTTAATACAAGAAAACATCTACAGGCATGAGGGACTCCAGCTAATGAGATCTCTCCAAATTTTTATCATGTTTAATTGCTAATGGAATCAGTATGCAGTGCATTGTAGGTACAGCTTGGGGATTTTGCTGTTGTGGAGGTTTTTTTGTTTAAAGTGCTTTTTATGGGCGGTTTGCTTGTTCATGTTGATGTTCTTTTGTGGGTATTTGGGAATTTTGTGTAGGTTTTGTTAGGGTTTAAAGAAAATGTGACCTTATGGGAAGCCTTGGCAAAGTCTTAGAAAATTTGGGAGGCTGTGAGTTTGGGTGGGGTTTTGTTGTGTTTGTGTTGGGCTTTTTAAGATGCAAAGAAAATTTGTAATCAGTAATCAAAAAAAAGTTGTAATCAGTGTTTCACTAACTCAGTTATGTGCTTTGTAGAAGGCCCTTCATGTTTCTTGTGAATGACTTACCTGGAATTTTTAAAAAGAATACCTTTCACTGTGGTGTCAGAGGCTTCCTCTGAAAGTCACTGGTGCTTTATACAAGAATAGCTTAAATTCTGTGGAGGATATCTTTGGTCTTTTCTCTTTAATAGCAAAGATGAGCATCCAAGTAATTGTCAGAATGGTGATGTGGCATCAATCTTTGAAGATCTCCTGTGTCAGATCATGTTCAATCTGTAAAGAACATGGAGGGAGGGAGACCATTCTATGGGAATTATTGACAACTGCAGTATTCCTTATTGAGCAGTGAAGTATTTCATGAAAGTACTGAATGTTTTGGTGTGTGTGTTTTTTTGGTTTTTTTACTGTCTAGTCTCAAGATGGCAGAATTATTTATGGAATGTGAAGAAGAGGAGCTAGAACCCTGGCAAAAGAGAGTGAGAGAAGTAGAAGAGGATGATGAGGACGATGATGATGAGCCAATCTTTGTTGGGGAAATCTCCAGCTCAAAGCCAGCCACTACATGTAAGACAACACTTTTCCATAATTTAAAACAGAACTTTCAAAGTATAGAAAGTTAAACTTAGTTTGGAAGTATAGAATTCTTAATAGTATGACTTAAAACATTCCACACCTTAAAGCTGTACGACTCTGTCTTACTGAAAATCAGAATTCTTAAGAAATTCTGTCTTAAATTAAACCAGTCCCAGGTTATGCACAGCTCTGGTTACTTCTAACCTTGAATCTCTGAGGTCAAAATAAGGACATTTGAAGGTTTTAGCATTAGTGACAGAGTTTAAAAGCTCCTATATACAGTGCTGAAATAATGCATGCAGTTGCTTACATAGTATAGTTAAAATTTAGTTATATATTTGGGAGTGTCTCCCTCATAAAAGAATGTGCATGAATTGAAGTCTTCCTGTTACACTCTTTTTTTTTTTCTCCACCTCTCATTTCATATGTTGGTGAACATCATTCTGACAAAGCCAAGAT